TCTCTCTCTCTCTCTCTCTCAGCACAATATCTATACACGGAAATTCAACGGTCCTTAGCATTAATTTTGTGTTGCGACGGCAAGGACACCCATTGTCCGGCTAGACCTGCGACGGTGTCGCTGGAAAACGACAATCGGTGACGAAACACAGTAGAGAGAGAATGGGACAAGAGGAGAGAGAAGCGGCGCAGCTGAAAAGTGAGGTGCTAGGGTTTGAGGGAGAATGGTAAGATAGAGGAGACGAACTACCAAGATCAATCTCACACAATAGACGGTCAAGATTGGGTTTGACCAGATCAGTGGGCTTAAGTTGTTGTTGGGGCCGATTCCTTGAGTTAGGCTGCAATTTGTAACGAATGACCCTGATCACCAAAGATCATTTATTGGGCTCAAAACCAAACAAATTCTCTACCTGAGACCAATAAAGAATTTTATGAACACACTTAATGAATTAGGATCATCATTGTCGTAATTTTGAATCTTAAATACTAATCACGCATATTTTAGTAGAAGATTCCACAATATTTTATCAAAAATGATGTAATCACCAAGATAAATTTTTTTTAAGACCACAGAGAATTTTAAAAAATCACAAAAGCTATCAAACAGAAAGCTCAGAAGAGATACACACATCAAGTATAAATCTCAATTTATGTTTCAATCATGTTTTCAGACTATGTTCAGGATTCTCAAACTGTTAGAGTAGGTGACCGAAGAGCCAACTAATTGTTGTGTTTTCTCACGCCACTCGTAAATAATCTATTTTGTATTAATGATAAATACCTCCCTTGGCATTCTGTATCTTTATCCCTTGGAGAAGCGTAGATATAGTCCTTACAGTTACTTAATTACTATAAATATATCTAGTAGAATCGTGAGATTATTTATTTAAGTATTGTAACTATTAAACGTGGTTCCTAATCAACGGGTTACGCTACTAATGAGGATATCGGCCTTTCCCATTCGAGACTGGCACTTAGTGTATGTCTGTAGCGTCTCATCAGTCAACGATATTGTGACATCGGCATACATAAGTGGGTGCTCATAAGTAAGTTTATGAGTTCACTGAACTCCCTCAATCTAGAGATATCTAAGTGGTTTCCAATAATCGAGTAGAGGTTTCTATGATATAGCTGTACACCATTAATCCTTAAGACCCAAACATCACCGTGACTTCATTAGAGGACCAGCTGTATCGTGACATGTCCCTGAGTTCCACCGAGAACTGCCCCAAGGGCCAGTGTTCGTGCTGTCCGAAATCAAGTGGGAGGTCTGTGCATTGTAGTAGGGGATTCGATCGCCTGATCAGTCATGGATATCCTTTGTGTTCTTACGATTTATAATCAATGAAGTCTGTGGCCACAGCTGAAAGTGTCGTGATTAGAGAAATATGTTTCCCTAAGTCAAACGTGAACGGATTATATAATCAAGAACGTCCACACAGTTATTGAACTCATAAAGAGGTCTCGACGAACCAATGCCTCTAGTTCAATCGGGATATATGTATCGAAGGGATCGAACTGTACGTTAACTATATCACACGGTTCTTGCAGGCACTTCATTTGTATCTAGGGAATCATGACGCGTAGTTGCTAGACGCCAATCTTGATTCGTTGGGTAGTTAAGTTGAAATTAGCTTCAACTTAATTATAACTCTAGGGACGAGTTTAAACCTCAATGGGTTGTGGGCCCACGGATAGCTTACACCTGAACCATCGAGGGTCACACTGCTCGTGTACTTGAGATCCTTAATGCAACGAGCTAAGATTAATTAGTTAATCTTAGTGTAATTGGAAGTCAATATGATTGAGTCCAACTTTCGTAATTGTTAAGATTAATTAGTTAATCTTAGTGTAATTGGAAGTCAATATGATTGAGTCCAACATTCGTACTTGAGATCAGCAAACATGTTTGATTAGTAGGAGTGGGAAGAGCAGCTAGCCATCTTCTCGAGTCTTCGTTCAATTCACGCTTCAAGGGTAAAATATCATTTTTCCTAATTAATATATATATATATTAATTAATTTATATTAATTGAGATTAATGTATGTTAATTAATTATTAAATCACATGAATCTATATGTTCAATTATGTGTTTATGTGAATCGTTCGTTGAACATGTTTATTATTTCATTTCATTTTCGAGCATGCTATGATGATTTAATTTATGTCACTTAAATTAATTATATATGCGAGCATTTTTGTCGGTGATTGGAAGCGAAAAGGTATGCAATTAATTGTAATTATTGTGCACGTGTTTGTTTATATAAGTTAGTTTATATAAATAAAATATTTTTTTTTTGTTTTCCGCTGCGTACACGTGCATGATCCCCAACAGTGGTATCAGAGCTACGCTTTCGCAAATAATTGCCTACGTGTTTATTGATTTCGATTGCATGTGAATAGTTTATTGAATTGATTGAATTGGTGAAATTGAAATTGAGTTGGTTTAATTTTAATTTGATTTTAAAATTGGATTTGATCGATCTTAAAATTGGAATTAGAAAATTGGATTTTGGTTTTTAAAATTGAATTTGATCGATTTGAAAATTGGAATTGGAAATTGGATTTAAAATTAAAACTGGATTTGAATTTAAATTCTAAAATTTCCTTTTGACAACTGCCCGAACCGGACAGCTCGGTCCGGCCGGTCCAACCGGTCCGACCGTGTCTTACCGGTTCAGACAGCCGGATTTTAAATTTATTAAAAAAAAGGGTTTCTTTTTCTAGAAATTAAAATTAAATCAAAATTGATTTTTAAATTTCTGAAATTATTTATCAATTAAAGCCCAATCCAAATATTCAATCCATTAATCAATAATGTTCAATAAATGAGTGTTTGATTAATTAATTAATTTAAACGTTAAATTATTTTCATTAATAGAACACACGTATAATGGTGATTATACTTCAGCTTAATTAATTGTACCTTAATCTTATTTGATTGATTTATGTTGATTAAGGTCCTTTAATTATTTTGAAACAAATCCACATATAATTTAAGTCGAATGTTCCTTTAGGACAATATGCGTTTCCATATACCTTTAGAGAACATAGTTGTAGGAATCCAATCGACCTGTCCAATATTTCTAATGAGATAACAACAAAACAATAATAAATCCTTCATTCTTAATTTATTAAGAATTATTTCAAGCTATAAAGAAAAAGCAATTTGTATAATTTTTCTTTCCTTCTACCAACAGTTAAATTATGTGTAGCCCCTTGCAATAGTGCAGTGAGCCGTGTTAGCGGGGAGTGCTATAGTTGGTTAATCTGTAATTTAATTGACATAATGATGAAGGTAGCCATAGAAAGGGTTATGCTAGATTAACGTGATCGGCTAGATTAACAAGGGGCTGCATTAGTTTGGTATAATTAGTTATATAGTATCTTTGATTGCTAGGTTAGACTTGACACACGAAGATTTTGAATTCGCGAGATTAACATAGGTCATTATCAAGTGTGAGGAAAATATATCTTTAGGGTCATATAACGATATGATTGATGAGATGTACCTTTGGACAAATGTAATCGGGCTGGATTAACTACGGGTTACATTTGCCTATTGGACCTAAAGCCCCTTAAAAGAAAAATAAGTTTTCTCGTTTGTCTGGTAGAGGGTAGTGGAATTCGATAAAATTTAGTGGGAGTACAATTAAATGATAAAAGTCCAAATATTTAATTGCAATCATTAATAACGAATTATCTGTTATAAGTCTACTTAAAGCTTTTCTGTATAAATGCTAAGAATCTTTTATCGTCAATTCTCGACACTAACAAAACTTAATGGCAACAATTACCTTGATTTGTTCAATAAACATTCGTTTGGTGCTTTTGATCCAAGAGAAATTGTGCATACTCAAATACACACTAACCAAACTTCATGATAACTCGACTCACTAGGAAACCACCACTTATTAGAAGTGGAAGAATCGTGTCCGTTATGAACAAATACTATATGATAGCGTTTGGTCACCCGAGTTAGCAAGGAACTATGAGAATCATCTTTATGTTGTTGACACAAAGTCTCCTCGAGATCGTGTGTGGTGAGAGCATTATGACAATGAGGTTTGTGACGACTAAGGAGATGCTGACTCCGGTCCATGAGCATGGTTTAAGATGACTCGCTCCCAAAGAAGTTGCGTGACCACAATGTCGTTCTTCCACCAGAGTTCTCGGTGAATCTCATGCTTCCAATATGGAACATTCATAATTAATTTCAATGAGAATATGGTTGAATCTATTTTTGAAAGAGTTGGTCAACATGTTGAAATACGAGTCAGTTAAAAAGGAAGAAACGTTTGTTTTGCCGTCGGCACCTTCTATATCTTTTCTTAAGAACAGTTCAAAGTCAAAAAAGAGAGCAAAACGAAAATAGTTTCCAGCCGAGCAAAAGATAAACTAGGGTTGAATCGAGTATTCGCGAGGATAAGGAAAACAAGCATGTAAGTGATGCTTGCTTCCAATGTGGAAATACAAGACCATTGGGCTGTTAGAGTAGGTGACCAACAAGCCAACTTGTGGCTATGGTCTTCCCATTTATTCTTGTAATAAATACTTATTTTCGTATTAATGATAAAAACACATTGGTATTCTATATATTTGTCCCTTTGTCATAAACATAGATATAGTCCTTACAGTTATTACAAGTACTAGTAATTGATCTTTAGGATCGTGAGATATTTACTTTAGTATTATAACTGTTAAACGCGTTCCTAGTCGAAGGGCTACGCCACCAATGAGGATATCGGGCTTTCTCATTAAGAGACTAGCACTTAGTGTATGCGTACTGCATCTCATCAGTAAACGGTATTGTGATATCGGCATGCATAAGTGGGTGCTCGTAAGTTGACAGTTCACTGAACTCCCTCACCCTAGAAATCTCTAAGTGGTTCTCAATAATCGAGTAGAGATATCTATGGTATAGTTGTACACCATTAGTCCTTATGACCTAGACATCACCGTGACTTCACTAGAGGACCAGCTGTATCGTAACTTGTCCCTGAGTTCCACCGAGAACAACCCCAAGGGCCAGTGTTCGTGCAGTCTGAAATCTAGTGGGAGGTTTGTGCATTGTAGTCGAGGATTCGATCGCTAGAATAGTCTTGGATGACATGTGTGTTCTCATAGTTTGTAATCTCCAAGTCTCTGGCCAGAGCTGACTAACTGATGATTAGAGAATTCGATTCTCTATGTCATGGACGTACCAATTACAACACTTAGAACGATCGCATAGTCATTGAACTACTAAGGAGGTCTCGATAAACCAATGCCTCTAGTTCAATCAGGACATATGAATCGAAGGGATCGTATTGTACGTTAACTATCACTATGCCAAAACAGATTTCAGGCGACGTTTTTTTGCGACGAAAAAACCACGTTTGCGACGAAATTTGTAATTTTGCGACGTTTATTTTGCGACGAAATTTGCCGCGAAAAAAGTCAAAAAAATGCCCGTCGCAAATATGTGCGACGTTTTTGTTATAACGTCGCAACAGCTTGCGACGATTACGTATAACCGTCGCAACGTTGTAATTTTTTCGTCTGCTGATTTATTGCGACGATTTTTCAAATATGTCGCAAATTCCGACCACCAACCGCGACTCATATATATCGTCGCAAATGTTTTGCGACTATTATTTCCGAAATGTTTTCGTCGCAATTGTTTTTAGCTTTGCGTCGTTTTTTTGATAAAGTCGCACAGTTTTGTTACGAAATTGCGACGAATATACAGTTATTGTCGCAAAAAAATTTCTGCTATTGCGACTAATATCCATAAAACGTCGCAAATATATAAATATTTTTATTTAATATTTTACTGATTTTTATTTTAATGGTTATTTGACCTGTAATAATAAATAATTCCAATATAATTAAATACACAAAAACATTAAACAATCCAAAACATTCTTCCAAAACATAAAATCGTCGAAACATTCCAAAACACATAATCATCAAACACAAAATCATCCAAAAATTCTATCAAAACACAAGATAATGCAAATAACAACTTAAATCATCCAAACATGAAATAAAAGTACCCAAAACCAATGTTGTAGAGGAAACTAGTTGTCGTCGCTGGGTGGATTCTGGGGATGGAACTCGACACCTTGAGCCCTAAAATATTCGACCATGGCTTTCATAGTACTCTGCATTTGATTCATCTCGTCCTTTAAAGTTTGATTGTCTTCTTTCAAAGCCGCTATTTCTTCATCTCTAGCAACAGAAGATAAGTTGGACCTCGCCCCTTTCTTTGAACTTGAGCAACCAAGTCCTAGTCTTTTAGTTTTTCCTAGTACTCGTTCGCAAGCAATCGTGTTAGCGGTGCTTTCATCACTCCCATCATTCATACATTCTTGATAGACTCTGTCCAAATCCGCCTGAGTAATATAAAAAAGTGTATTAACACTAATTACTTGATACAAAGTATAAAATAAAATAATAATTCAAATGAAAATATACCAACTAATTTGCTCAACCCAAACATTTTCAAGTAAACAAAAACACAATAATTCATATATAAAGATCGACCAACTACATTAAAGACCGGCAAATGCATCATAACAACAAAGAAAGCCGGAGGAAAAAACTTCTCCAAGTCGCATAGTATTTTTACAATATCAGAGTGAAGCTTTTGGAAGTCATCAAACTTGCTGGTTTTGGAACACAATCCTCGAAAAAAATTACACAATCGGATAATGGCGGAAGCCATCTTTGTCGGTAACCCCACATTGCGAACCGCTAAGGGAAGCAATTGTTGCATTAAAACATGATAGTCATGACTCTTCAACCACCCTATTTTATCTTCATTAACGCAACGGGCTATATTTGATGCATAACCATTAGGGACCTTAATGCTTGCTATAACATCACACACAGCTTTCTTAGATTGAGCAGACATCTTGTGATATTTCCCCAATTTAGGAACTAAATTGGGAAATCGTGGACCAGATTTTCCCGGCGGTGGTTTTTTTATTTTTTCGATATCCTCTTTGGCATTGTCGAAACCATCGCTTTTGTTAAGAATATTTAACAGCCACTTAAGTAACAACTCACCAATATTTTTCTCGATGTGCATGACATCCAAATTGTGACGTATCAGATTATCCTTCCAATAAGGCAATTCAAAGAAAATACTTCTCTTCCGCCATTGAGAATCTTTATGAACTGCTTGACCTGCCCCAAATATAACATTGATTCCATCTGTCTGTGATAAAACCTCGTCGCCCGAAGGTGGAGGTGGTGCCCCTTCCTCGGGAAAACGACTGTGGCCCATAAAACACTGTTTGTTCGATTTGTACAGCCGCTCAGATACTGTATTTTCACCACAACTTGGGCAAGCAAGATAGCCACTTGTGCTCCATCCTGATAAGTTACCATATGCTGGAAAATCATTGATAGTCCACAAAATGGCCGCTCGTATATTGAAGTACTGTTTGGTGGATGCATCAAAGGTTCTAATTCCAGTAACCCACAACTCTTTCAGCTCCTCTATCAGTGGCTGCAAATAAACATCGATGCCATTTTTCGGTCCTTGAGGACCAGAAATAAGCAAAGACATCATCATAAAAGAACGTTGCATGCACATATTTGGTGGTAAGTTGTAAGTCATTAGAATAACCGGCCACGTGCTATACTTACTACTCAATGATCCAAATGGATTGAATCCATCTGTAGCCAAGCCGAGCCTTACGTTTCGGGGGTCTGAAGCAAATGAATCATGCTTCTTATCAAATTCTTTCCACCCATCAGAATCGGCAGGGTGCCTTAAACAACCATCGTTACACCGAGACTCAGCATGCCATCTCATATGAATTGATGTTTTCTCGCATATGAACAAACGTCTGAGTCTAGGAATTAACGGGAAGTGTCGGGGGACTTTCTTAGGTACTCTTTTGCGATGAGAGGTTGAACAACTTGGTTCATTTTCTGTGGGACTCTTCCATCTTGAAGCATCACACACTTTGCATTTGTCCAAGTCTTTGTCATTCTTCCAGAACAACATACAATCATTCTCACATGCATCAATTTTGACATAACCGCATCCCAACTTCCCGATAAGCTTCTTAACTTCATAGAAAGAATCGGGAATATTTAGGGAAGGAATCTTTTTCATAAGTTGGAGGGTTTCTGAAAATGTCTTATCGCTCATTTTACCCCGAGATTTGATTTTATAAAAGTCCATCATGAAGGAAAGTTTAGAGTTATCAGTGCAACCTTCATATAAAAGGATACACCACTCTTCAATGAGTTTGCGGAGATCATCACTTTCTGAGCTGGACTCTTCACCTAGGGCATGTTGAGCAGGATTGAGACATGCTTGCAATAATTCATCCATTGTGGGATTAATATCGGCACTCATGTCATCGTCTTCATTCAAATGTACAACACCAAACCCCCCTACTTCACTAGCTTCTTCTTCGTTTACTTCGCAAAGAACCCTACGGTACTCTTCATCAGACTCCAAATGCATTACCCATTGTCCTTTGCCATAGGATTTATCCCAGCCCCTCCAAAGTAAATGCTCATGAACGAATTCACGATCCCCGACTTTTCGACATTTGCAGTCTCTACATGGACACCTTATTTTGTCATCAATGGCCGCCTTATCGAAAGCAAAGTCGAGAAATTCTAAACAACCATTTTGAAATGCGTCTAATCGATGATCATCTAGCAAAACCCAACTCCTATCCTTCGGCATTTTTACTTAGAATATATTCGCAACTGAGGAACATAGAAGGTAACGAGAGAGTTAAATTTATATATTCGTCTCTCTCGGAATAATTTAATTTCGGAGTATATATATAGTAGGGATTCCTTCATTACCAAGAAAAGAAAGAAAAAACAAATGCGATGACGTTCGAACCCAAATTGATTTTCTAAATAGATATTGAACTGTATTTACGTTCTATTTGATTTTAATATAATTATGTTGAATCCAAACAAATTCTAGTCTAATATAATATGAACCGCGTTCAAGATGAGTTTTAAATTAAATGCGATATATATTTGAACTTGATTTGTTGCTATTATACATGTAAGTATGTAACTAGAAAATAATAGTAATGTCTCGCAAGAGAGCCAGTGTCAACCATGTTCGAATCCCCTTATTCGCTAGGTCTAGCTGGAAAAAAATGGAAATAACGAATTCCGAATGGATCTGGTCTAAATTTTCCGATATTCGAATAAGTTTTTTATTTCAATTTTTGAAATTTTGATTTATTATTTTTTAGAATGAAAATTTTCATTTCAGAAAAAAAAAAAAAAAAAAAAAAGAGTAGATATATAAAAAGTGCTTATTCCATCTCTCAGATTTCCATCCTACCCACAACAGTGAAAATTATATTTTCCATCCTCAAACATTACGCACTTATTCTGAGTTAATTCATCAATTGAAAGCATAATTTGATGGCCTATTGATGAGAGCAATCAATTACATTCAAATTATGCACCTTATATATTTTCAAATACGAGAAAACATAATTGATAACAAAAAAAATGATTCTCAAATATTCAAAAACTTACCCTCGACGGCGGAGTGAATCGAAGAACGGCGGAGTGCAGTGGTGGCAGGGGCAGCGGCAGCGGCAACGGCAACGGCGGGAGCGGGAGCGGCAACGGTGGGAGCGGGAGCGGCAACGGCGGGAGCAAGAGCGGCAACGGCGGTGTGAAACAGGGAGGAGGAGCGGGATAAGAAAGACTTCGGTGATGTCGTCGGCACGGTGGAGAATATAGAAGCGTCGGCGGCGGCGGTGTGGAAGACGGAGGAAGGGCGGAGGAAGCGGCGGTGGCTATCTCGTTACTTCGCTGCACAAGGCCTTATGCCGTCACCAGCGACGGCGACGGCGACGGCGACGGCGGAATGTTTTGCTTCGGCGGAGGAGGGGTGTGGGAGCAGCTGCGATTTTGGCGGAGGAGGGGTCTGTGGCTGAAATGTTCTGAAATTAGGGTGTGGAAAAGGGGATTTAATTTGGTGTTGCGACGTTTTTATCTATTAGTCGCAGGATAGAAAATAACATTGCGACGTTTTATTATATTTTAGTCGCAACAACAAACTTATGGAAATAACATTAGCGACTTTACATTATCAAACGTCGCAAAAAAAAATATTGTGAAAAAAAACGCAATTATATTGCGACGTTTCTATATTTATGTCGCAAAACAAATTTAGAAATTTTTTAATTAGAAAACCATTGCGACGCAATAATATACAAAAGTCGCTAATTTTTCAATCATATTGCGTCGTTTCACCATTATCGTCGCAATTATTATTAAGTAAAAAAAATAATTTTTTCTTTTTTTTTATTGCGTCGAAAGATTCCATAAACGTCGCAAATGTGCGACTTATATACCAGATTCGTCGCCTTTTCTTTAGGGAACTTTTCGTTTCAAAGTTTGCGATGATTTCCGCGACGGAACTAAGAATCGTCGCAATATTTACTCATTTTTTAAAATTTGAATTTAAATTATGTATTTATTGCGACGATTTGTTAATAAAACGTCGCAATGTGTGCGACGTTTCCGTAATCGTCGCAAAAAAAATGTCGCCTGAAATGAAATTTGGCCTAGTGTATATCAAAAAAGGTTCTTGCAGGCACTTCATTTGTATCTGGGGAATCATGAAGCGTAGTTGCTACACGCCAATCTTGATTCGTTGGGTCATTAAGGTGAAACGGGCTTTATCTTAATCGTAACTCTAAGAGATGAGTTTTGACCCCAAAGGGTTGTGGTCCCACGGCTAGCTTACACCTGAACCATCGAGGGTCACACTGCTCGTGCACTCGAGATCTTTGAATAAACGGTCAAAGATAAAAGTGTTTTTAACTTTGCATGATTGGAAGTCAATATGATTCGGTCCAACATTCGTAATTTGGAATTATGAATGAGAATAAGAAAAGGAAAAGAATAGGCGAATATCTTAGTGGACTTTCTAAATCGGGAAGTTTCCAAATTTAGAAAGTGCACTGAATTAAGGTTTCAACTTTTAGAAAGTTTGAAATCGAACATTGGCACTCGTAATGACGATGATATTATAATGATTCCGAAAATGTAATTGTTACAATTTTCCGATCATTCAATTGAGAGAAACGAGCGAGTAAAGAACTAACGAACTTAAGCTGTTGGGCCCGGTCAAACTTAAGCCCGTTAGGGTTTTTATACAAGACACTATAAATACTTGATTTATCGGTCTTGCACAAACACACAACACATCACAAACCCTAGCCGCTCACCTCTCTCTCTCGGCCAAGCTCACTCACGGCCGCCGCCGTCCACCGACGTCGCCGCCGTTCATCGCCGGAATCGGCCTCCCTTTGGTCGATTGTTGTGGTAGTTCTTTTCCTCTTTTCTTTTCTTCCGTCTATTCTAACTATTGCGTGTCTAGTGCCACGTTTTTAGTAGATCGAAGTATACGAGGTGAAATCTGAGGGGAGGAGGATCAAAGATTCGAAGAACCGAGGAGCAGCCGTCGAGCCGACGACGTACGCGCTCCCACGCGCCGCCCGAAGACAGTGCGTGATCCTAGCTTGCACCGCCGCCGCCGCTCCCGGACTGCATGGATTGGTTTCCGTGGCAGTCTTGCTTCGTTTCGTGCCCCAACCTCACGCTTCAAGAGGTTATTCTTGAATCCGGTATTCGTTAGGTTTTAATTTAATTAGATTAAATTATCCATGTTCGTTTTTGTAGTACGTATTGTGAATTTGAATGTTTTGTATGTTCACATGAAATTCATGATTTACTGCGAGCATGTTAAATGATTTACTGCGAGCATGCTAATTGATTTAATGTCGATTAAATTAATTCACATGATTGTCGTTTTTAATTTTGCTGAAGCGCACAGGTACGCAATTAATTGTTTAATTATTGACGGACATGTGATTATGTGATTAAAACTTGTTTAATTTGCATAAAATTTTTCTTTTCCGCCGCGTACACGTGTCCGATTCCCAACAGTGGTATTAGAGCTCGTTGCGCAATTAATTGCGTTTTCATATGCTATGCTTATTTTGATGCATGTTCGATTTATTAAAGTTGTGATTGTTGTATTATTTAATTGGGTGTTTTCGAAAGTTTAAAATATTTTTGAAATATTATTTAGAATTTTTCCAGCTTTAAAATTGTTTAAAATTGGAAAATTGGATCTGAAATTTAATTTAAAATTGTTGGTTTTAATTATTCGGATCGAACTGGTCGAACCGGCCAGTTCGATGGTTCTACTCGATCCAATTGACCAAATCCAGGTGGATTCAGGTCGGTCAGACCGGTTCTCGGTCCGACTGACCCGGCCCACTGATTTGGGTCAACTGGACCGGTTAGAACTGGAACGTTTCGGTCCGAACCGGTCAGACCGATCGGGCCGAGCCGGTTCACTGAAAAAAAAAATTTTATTTCAGATTTCTAAAATTAAACTTAAAACAAATTGATTTTAATTTTTGGAAAATTATTTTCAATTAAACCCAATTAGATAATAGATTCAACAATCATCTATTTTAGTAAATAGGTGTTAGATTAATTAATTAATTAATTTAAATTGTTAAATTGATCTTAATTAATAGAATGCACATATAATAATGATTATACTTCAACTTAATTAATAGTACCTCAACATTATTTGATTGATGTATGCTAGTTGATAACCTATAATTATTTTTAAAAAACCGATAATTAATTAATGTAATTAATTATATAGTTAGGTCGTATGTTCCTCTTAGGACAATATGCGCTTCCATATACATTTAGAGAACATAGATGTAGGAATCACATAGACCAATCCAAACCTTCTGATGAGATAAAAACTTTCTCAAAAAATCCCTCATTCTTAATCTAATCAAGAATTATTTCAAGCTGTAAAGAAAAACCAATTTGTTGAATTTTTCTTTCATTCTGCCAACTGTTGAATTATGTGTAGCCCTTTACTATAGTCCAGTAAGCCGTGTTAGTGGACATAACGATGTAAGATGTAAAGTAAGATGTAATTCAATTGACATAACAATGAAGGTAGCCATAGAAAAGGTTATGCTAGATTAACGTGGTCGGCTAGATTAACTAGGGACTGCATTAGTTTGGTATAATTAAGTTCTATGAGCATCTTTGATTGGTAGGTTAGACTTGACACACGAAGATTTTCAATTCGCGAGATTAACTTAGGTCATTATCAAGTGTGAGGAAAATTAATTTAGGGTCATATAAATGATATGATTGATTGTGATCTACCTTTGGGCAATATAATCGGGCTAGATTAACTACGGGTTATATTTGTCTATTGGACCTGAAGCCCATTAAAGAAAAATCGGTTTTCTCGTTTGTCTACTAGAGGGAAGTGGAACTCGTAAAATTAGTGGGAGAACAATTAAATAACAGAAGTCCAAACATTTAATTGTAAAATTCATTTAATACGAATCTCTAATAATCCTCTTCTCTAAACCTCTCATATAATCATGTCTAAGAATCGCTTAATGTCAATCCTCGACAATAAACTCAATGGCCCTAATTACCTAGATTGGTTGCGTGGTCTTTAACTTGTGCTAACTGTTGAGGGGCGTCTCTATGTCCTTAATGAGATACTTCCTACCACTATACCCGACACTGCGACCGATGTTGAAAAGGAAACTTATGAAGCATGGAAGAAAGACGACACTCCTGCTAGGTGCTATATGATAGCCGCCATGGAGCCCGTGCTTGCGAGGAAATATGAATCTCACA